ACGTCAGACATTTCCTTTCATACTCCGATTTTAGGATCATGACCAGGCTTTCTTACAGCCGCTGTGTGTGTGTGTGTGTGTGTGTGTGTGTGCGTGCTTGCGTGCGTGCATGTATTTGCAGTCCATAGAGCTGATAATGCTCAACCTCTCAGACATGAACCACCACTAAAGTCTTCACTAACTAGAAAAACTTCCAAAACACAGTGTCAGTAATGTCATGTGAAAGGTTGTCGATGGACAAGCCAACTATTGGGAGCAGAAATCTGACTGTATATTCTCTATCAGTGTTCCACATTATAACCACATCATTACAGTCTCTGGCTGGGATCTCTCTCAGGATAGAAGTCCTCTGGGAAGGTTGAACACATGAATGATATCAATGTTGCTCAGGAACATGCCACAGTAAGTACTAGGAGGAATACCATGATGAAATAATCTCTTTTTGAAGGAGCTGCTTAGATATGTCTGACGCCACCCCACTACATGCTTCTCCTATTTACTATCTCTGGAATACTGACGGGTAGACATCCCTCTCCTTATGTTGTCCTCTCACTGTATGCATTACATTTACATTTTAGTCATTTAGTCATAACTTACAGTTAGTTAGTGCATACATTTTTCTTTTCTTCATACCCCCTGTGGGAATCGAACCCATAACCCTGGCGTTGCAAACACCATGCTCTATCAACTGAGCTACATCCCTGCCGGCCATTCCCTCCCCTACCCTGGACGACGCTGGGCCAATTGCGTGCCGCCCCATGGGTCTCCCGGTCGCAGCCGGCTACGACAGAGCCTGGATTAACTGTAAAATTAACTGTGAAATGATAGGATAGGCATAAGCAATATGGTATTAACTCTACCTAGCTTGCCCACTGGTAGGCTAGCTAAATATATTACCATATTGCTTGGTAGGCTAGCTAAAGATATTACCATACTGCTTGGTAGGCTAGCTAAAGATATTACCATATTACCATATTACCTGGTAGGCTAGCTAAAGGTATTACCATATTGCTTAGATCCATCCACTTCTTCAAGATATACAAGGGGGTATCAATGAGTCTCGTGGTAATAGTTGTTATTGGACTGGACAGTATAGGTCTGCTTCATACATGTTCAGTTCCAGTCCACTGTATCTTAATGGCAGGATTCATGACTCCATTTGTCTCAACCAGAACCCTGATCTTTGTTCCCAGTCTGATAGGGAAGGATTCATTTAGAGTTATGCTTCCATTCCATGGTTTAACCATTTACTTGTGTTAGTCGATGTTAACCTTTATCCATCCAGACAGGAAAGTGAAAACAACTCTCTGGTCTCATTCTCATGAATGATGAAAAAGGACATTGGGACAACTTTTTTTTTTAAGAACATTATAAAGGGAAAAAGCTAGGGGAGTATTGAGCATGAGGGTAAAAGTCAGCGGGGTTTAACGGAGGTAGTGGTGAGGGGAAGTGACCGTGGGGGGGTCGGTATCCCAGAGTGCCGTTGGAGCCGTAAGGCCAGATGGCACGCACCCTGCGATATGTCACAACGGGTGTGTCGTGTATTTCATGTTCAGGGTGGTCACGCCGAGCTACAGAGGGCAGGAGGAGGGGGTAGGGAGGTGGAGGAGAGGGGAGGATGGTGGAGGTGTAGGGACCTTGGGGTGTTCCACTGAGCACCGTGATGTCTGAACAGTATGTCTGCATTTCTCCCTGCTCTAACCTTTAGGCCTGGAAGAAGAGAAGGTAACGGATGGCTCCCCATGCACCCTCTCCTCATTCCTATCAGCGTACGACCCCCACGCCCCCACCCCCCTTCACATCCCACCACCAAGCACCTCTGTCCCATGGAAATAAAATCCCTTTGATCATTTTGATAGAATATGTTGTCAAATTTCATAAAACGGTACCGTTTCCTCCCCTTTCCCCTGCCCCCACACCCCCAACTTAACCCATTAAAACATCACCCACCCCTCTGCCTCCCAAAGCTTCTGTTGTAAAGTTACATTATGTGTGGGAAAAACACAATTTCATGAAATATGTTGTTGACTCACGTTTCTATTGTACAGTTCAGAATTGTGGATATTTTGATTTCACCCATCTCTAAAAGGCTTGCTCGCAGGTTATTCAACAGCATGTGTTGAATCTCTGTTATCGAACACACAGTATCCTGTAGCGATGGAATAAGATAACTTCATTGATGCTGTTTGACAGTAGTCTATATTAGGCAGCAACACACAGCCTCCCCAGAGTCCTGCAGTATAGAACTAGGTTAACACAGCTCATTTAGGCATTTTGTTATATTTAGACAACAGACCACAAGACAAATTAGCCAAGGAGGCAGAGGCGTACGTGCGTACATGCCTGTGTGTGTGTCACAACTCCCTCCGAAGCTGCCTCATCTCCATGTTCGGGCAGGCTTCGGCGTTCGTCGTCACCGGTCTTCTAGCAACTGCCGCTCCTCTTTTCATAATTCCATTTGTTTTGTCTAGTTTTTCACACACACCTGGTACATACAGTGGGGGAAAAAAGTGTTTAGTCAGCCACCAATTGTGCAAGTTCTCCCACTTAAAAAGATGAGAGAGGCCTGTAATTTTCATCATAGACAGCTATAGACAACTATGACAGACAAAATGAGATTTTCTTTTCCAGAAAATCACATTGTAGGATTTTTAATGAATTTATTTGCAAATTACGGTGGAAAATAAGTATTTGGTCAATAACAAAAGTTTCTCAATACTTTGTGATATACCCTTTGTTGGCAATGACACAGGTCAAACGTTTTCTGTAAGTCTTCACAAGGTTTTCACACACTGTTGCTGGTATTTTGGCCCATTCCTCCATGCAGATCTCCTCTAGAGCAGTGATGTTTTGGGGCTGTCGCTGGGCAACACGGACTTTCAACTCCCTCCAAAGATTTTCTATGGGGTTGAGATCTGGAGACTGGCTAGGCCACTCCAGGACCTTGAAATGCTTCTTACGAAGCCACTCCTTCGTTGCCCGGGCGGTGTGTTTGGGATCATTGTCATGCTGAAAGACCCAGCCACGTTTCATCTTCAATGCCCTTGCTGATGGAAGGAGGTTTTCACTCAAAATCTCACGATACATGGCCCCATTTATTCTTTCCTTTACACGGATCAGTCGTCCTGGTCCCTTTGCAGAAAAACAGCCCCAAAGCATGATGTTTCCACCCCCATGCTTCACAGTAGGTATGGTGTTCTTTGGATGCAACTCAGCATTCTTTGTCCTCCAAACACGACGAGTTGAGTTTTTACCAAAAAGTTATATTTTGGTTTCATCTGACCATATGACATTCTCCCAATCCTCTTCTGGATCATCCAAATGCACTCTAGCAAACTTCAGACGGGCCTGGACATGTACTGGCTTAAGCAGTGGGACACGTCTTGCACTGCAGGTTTGAGTCCCTGGCGGCGTAGTGTGTTACTGATGGTAGGCTTTGTTACTTTGGTCCCAGCTCTCTGCAGGTCATTCACTAGGTCCCCCTGTGTGGTTCTGGGATTTTTGCTTACCGTTCTTGTGATCATTTTGACCCCACGGGGTGAGATCTTGCGTGGAGCCCCAGATTGAGGGAGATTATCAGTGGTCTTGTATGTCTTCCATTTCCTAATAATTGCTCCCACAGTTGATTTCTTCATACCAAGCTGCTTACCTATTGCAGATTCAGTCTTCCCAGCCTGGTGCAGGTCTACAATTTTGTTTCTGGTGTCCTTTGACAGCTCTTTGGTCTTGGCCATAGTGGAGTTTGGAGTGTGACTGTTTGAGGTTGTGGACAGGTGTCTTTTATACTGATAACAAGTTAAAACAGGTGCCATTAATACAGGTAACGAGTGGAGGACAGAGGAGCCTCTTAAAGAAGAAGTTACAGGTCTGTGAGAGCCAGAAATCTTGCTTGTTTGTAGGTGACCAAATACTTATTTTCCACCATAATTTGCAAATAAATTCATAAAAAATCCTACATTGTGATTTTCTGGAATTTTATTTTCTCAATTTGTCTGTCATAGTTGATGTGTACCTATGATGAAAATTACAGGCCTCTCTCATCTTTTTAAGTGGGAGAACTTGCACAATTGGTGGCTGACTAAATACTTTTTTTCCCCACTGTATCCCCTCATCAGTCTCTCTATAAGTATTCCCTCTGCTCCCCCATGTCTTTATTTGTTATTGTTCCATGTGTAGGTTTCGCTAGCTCGTGTTGAGCATTAAGTTACTTTTATCACCGGGATATTCACCCGTGTGTTTTGTTTTCCCAGTACGCATTTAAGTCTCACTGTTTATGCATTGTAAATAATGATCTCTGTGGAACCAAATGCTAAGATTAAGAATATCTGAAGAGAGACTAAGAGGGAGATGTAAGTCCGTTGGCGATTAAGGGGCTCTGGGTTAATGTGGTTCTGACTTGCGAGGATTATTAAGGGAAGTAGTCAGCAGGTTAACACCAGGAGGGGCGTCGACAAGGGGTCTGTGGCTAAATAAAGGTTGGAGGAGGTCCAGCCAGTTTCTGATGACCACTTGAGCCAGGATAAGCTTGCTAGTGCAATAAGTAGACTTTGGGCAGTTGATGTTGTCCATAGTCATTTTGCAGGGCTAAGCCAGATTGTGGGAAACAGCATTAGTGTTGGGATGAGAATTTTTAACATTGGAGAAGGTTGAGGCTTTGGAGGCGGTCCGTACCGTGTGTCCGTGCAGTTGCTACTAGTAGGGCCAGGCCTGCGCTGGCTTCACAGGCTGAGAAGGCTAGCAATAGCATGGGGGCTACCGAATAACCGGTTGCTTCTATTTGAAGTGCCCACAAGGACAGGGCAATAAATAGAGAGAGTATTATTCCTTCTAGGCAAAGAAGGGCTGAGAGAAGGTGGGTGCGGTGGAATGCGAGTCCTATCAGTCCTAGAACAAAGGCTGAGGTAAAGCTGAAGTGTACTGGTGTCATAAGGCGGTCATGGACTTAAACCATGGTCTTTTGAGCCGAAATCAAGGGTCTTATTTTTGGACTAACTGCCTATTCAGCCCACTCTAGGCCTCCTTGGGTTCATTCGTAAATCAAGCCAAGGGTGAGTAAGGCAAGGACGGCGGCGGACCAGGCAAGTGTTAGGGCGGGGGTGTCTAGTTGGTCCCCTCAGGGGAGGGGTAGAAGAAGGGCGATCTCTAGGTCAAATAAAATAAATAAAATGGCGATAAGGAAAAGATCTGTATTGGCCAAATATACCCTGTTCACACCTCCTGCGCCTGGCTCCGTCCTACTCACCTTGTTACAGTGTGAATCTGTTAAGACTAACAGATAGTTACTATGTTGTTTGTTAGTTTTTTTTTGTTTGTATCCTTATAGAATATACAGCAGTGGTGTGTATTCATGGATGCCAAGGGAAGCCAGGCTTCCCCCCAAAATTATATATTTTATCTTTTGTCTCTCTGTGTTTCATAATTTTCCTTCAATTCGCAAGAGGCTGAATGTATCTCACAGGAGAAAGCATCCGAGCGAGCGAAACAGCGTCCCTCTGTCTCTCTATGTGTAGGCCATCTATCTGATGCTGTCTGGTCCAAATGAGTATGACATTGTTGCCACCCATAGCATTGAAGGCAAGGGAAGCTAGCGAGCATTTGGCCTCCCTTGATGAAAAAAAAAGTATAAAAAATGTGCCAATCAGCGTTGAGCTAAACTGAGCGAGCTCAACTGTGAATGGTCCTGGAGCACCAAAACAAAGTGTCAAGGGAAGCCAGTTTGGATTTTGGCGTCACTCCTATCAAATCCCATTGAGAGCATACGTCATTGACAGAAAAACTTTTTGTTGCATCTCGTTGTGTTGTTGTCCTCCGGTGGCTAGCTAGCCAGCTAGCTAAAATAGACCCTTTCCTAAATTAGCCATGGATGGAGATAGGGATTTGGACTTGTGGTTTGACTTAATTCTCCGTACTGGCCAATAATTATAACGGTGATTCTGATCCAACCATTAATTCATACATTGTTGTGCCCCTGGCCTGAGATGATAGAAGTTCAAAATGTATCTAGATGTAGAAGGCTAATGTTAACTAGCTAACGTTGCCCATGAATGGAAGTTAGGCTAGCGAGCAAGCATTTTAGCCTGGTAGCCTAGGACAACAAAAAATAAAAGCGTGTACTGTATGACAGAGTGATAGACTGTTACGTCAACATGAAAGAGAGGAGAACGGCATTGGCATTTCTCTACAAGTAGGCTGAGTCAACATGTTTTTCTCCTTGCACGAACGCGTACACACACACACACGCGCACACGCACGCACACAGAAATCAGACCCATAGACAGCCACATCATATTTAGCTTACGTTGATTGGACTAAATTGTTTTTGGTATCTTTTAGTTGTCACTGTTTTAGACTAAGCAGAGGTGATTTGATGATGTTGAAATGTTGATGTTGAAATGGTGCTGGAAAGGTGGAGGCAGCTCCTGTTTTCTTTGCGACTTGCGGTAACTCTCTGTGGTTCCAAATCAATAGTTGTTTAGTAGTCTGAAAATGTTGGCAACATTAACTTGCTTGACCATGCTGTTGGTCATGTAACTGTCTTTTACATGCAATATGCTCTGTGGACTTCACTGGACAGAGTTTGCTATCTGGTTTTGTGATAAAACAAAGGTGTGATCGAATTTATTCTGCAACTGTGTCTTCTTATTGTCTCGGCCTTTAGGCCTATATATCACGGTCGCAAGGCATGCGAACTAACATGTTACAGAGCAAACAATGCAATTATCACAACACATATGTTATAATATGACTTTGTTTTGTTGTATGTGACGTGTGTGTGACGTGTGTGTCTGTGTGTGTGATTAGAATATCTTCTCTTATCATTGTGTCCTTGACGTGCCCTTGTTTTCTCCTGACTCTCCCTGTCCCCGCTGAGTGTTTGTCCTGGAGGATACAGTGGCATTGTGGGGGTCTACAGAGAGAGAGCGGCATCCGGAGTGGAGCGTGGCGAGCGACACGTGGCGTACCAGCTGATTAACATACAGGCGTCCCGCTCAATCGATGGGCTAATTAACATCATGGCCCGTGCCGATCGCTATCTAACTATCTAAGCGAGAGATAATTCAATGGCGGCCTTATCAGTGGAAGGCATCCCTGTTCTCCAAAGTTTGTGTAAGAACCAGATAGCAGAGGATACACAGGGCGAAAATTGAGCCATTAGTTACACAAAGTGAGAGAAGAGAGGGAGGGAACAGGGGTTGGAGGAGGAAGGGGAAGTCTCTATCTGTAGTCTCTATCTCTGTCTGTTCTGTTTTACTGAGACAACAAAGAAGTGTCGGACATTAAAGGATGAAGACAATCAGACGCGAGGAAGAGTCCCTGAAGCAAGATCTGTGGTCCTCCATCCTCAGTCTCAGTCGACTGGAGTCGAACCTCTGAACAGAGGCTGGGAGAGGGAGAGAGGAACAGCGAAGCAGAAAGAGAGAGGCAGAGAGGAAATCAGAAAGAGAGAGGAAAAATACAGATTTAGAAAAGGAGAGAGTATGAAAGTAGTATGAAAGTGCGAGATACAGAGTGAGTTAGATAGAAACAGTGGAGACAGAGGAGACTTGTCAATATACTTGCCAGTATAAAAAAAAAAAAAAAAAAAATGTATTCACTAACTGTAAGTCGCTCTGGATAAGAGCGTCTGCTAAATGACGTAAATGTAAATGTAAAAATGTAATATAGTGATGAAGAGTACTAAACAGAAAAGACAGTTGTTGAGAACTCCATTTAAAGAGTGACTTGCCGATACAACTCTAGCTTCACAGCGAAAACATTGCAGCAAGGGCTCTCACTCTTGATAATGGTGGAACTGACTGGCACATCTCATTCCAGTTTATACTGCATCTCTGTTTCTGGCTCTGTTGGATCCAACTTATACCCTACAAGACAGCTACTGCAGTGACTGTGGAAGCTACAACCCTTTGGTGCACAAAATGATAAAAATAATCAAATCAAGATTCCTATGTTCGAATCCTGGGTCTGCATGACAGGGATGAGCTGTACGTACAGTGGGGGAAAAAAAGTATTTAGTCAGCCACCAATTGTGCATGTTCTCCCACTTAAAAAGATGAGAGAGGCCTGTAATTTTCATCATAGGTACACGTCAACTATGACAGACAAAATGAGAGAAAAAATCCATAAAATCACATTGTAGGATTTTCAATGAATTTATTTGCAAATTATGGTGGAAAATAAGTATTTGGTCATTAACAAAAGTTTCTCAATACTTTGTTATATACCCTTTGTTGGCAATGACACAGGTCAAACGTTTTCTGTAAGTCTTTGTTACGCCCCTGAAAAAGGGGAGAAATAATCACGAGAGTGATGCAGTTATGTTTCCTCACTGAAAACTTTAGTATAATCCTTTTACAAAAATACCACATTTTACAGAACAACAGATCTACAGGAACCTGAGTTTGGTAGGGTACAAAGCTTATTCAAGTCACAACAGCATAAACTGTAATTCACTAAAACATATACAAATGTTTCAATATAACTGTCAAACACAAAGTAGCTTTAGCTCAGTAACCCATAACTACATTTATCAACCATGTCAACAAAGTATTCGAAACACATTATACAAATAACCCCAAAATATATTATTAACAGCGCACATGTTCATTCACAATTAACATAAAATGGCAGCTACTCTCAGTACGAAGCTATTCTTCGCTGCAACCAAGCAGGTTTCACTCACACACGCACCTATTACTCTCTTCAACTTAACTCTAACTTACTCAAGATGTTACTAACACATACCTTAAACTCTCTTGACATGTTAGCAAGTTATTACATTCAAATTAACTCGTTTTATATCAATAACGTACCTGAAAAAGGGGAGAAATAATCACGAGAGTGATGCAGTTATGTTTCCTCACTGAAAACGTTAGTATAATGAGGAAAAAGACCGCGATTTCCCCAGAAAGTTGGGTGGAGACCAGAGCAATCGATCTCAGGCTCATAGATTAAGAGCATTTAGTAGATCTCAGATTACTACTTTTACCCTTAAATTAGGCACCACAAAATAAAGTAGTCAATATAACGTTTACACATTCCTCTCACAATATTTACCCTTTTACACTTGATGGATTTTAACACAATTATGAATTTTATCAATCTCTATGAACTAGTACTGAATGCATGATCTTTTTAACCTAAGATATTTTAGGATCCTTACATACCATGAACTTACTAATACTTTTTAGTGTATAACAGGCTATGAATATGTCCTTTAACCTGTCACACTTTCACAAGGTTTTCACACACTGTTGCTGGTATTTTGGCCCATTCCTCCATGCAGATCTCCTCTAGAGCAGTGATGTTTTGGGGCTGTCGCTGGGCAACACGGACTTACAACTCCCTCCAAAGATTTTCTATGGGGTTGAGATCTGGAGACTGGCTAGGCCACTCCAGGACCTTGAAATGCTTCTTACGAAGCCACTCCTTCGTTGCCCGGGCGGTGTGTTTGGGATCATTGTCATGCTGAAAGACCCAGCCACGTTTCATCTTCAATGCCCTTGCTGATGGAAGGAGGTTTTCACTCAAAATTTCACGATACATGGCCCCATTCATTCTTTCCTTTACACGGATCAGTCGTCCTGGTCCCTTTGCAGAAAAACAGCCCCACAGCATGATATTTCCACCCCCATGCTTCACAGTAGGTATGGTGTTCTTTGGATGCAACTCAGCATTCTTTGTCCTCCAAACACGACGAGTTGAGTTTTTACCAAAAAGTTCTATTTTGGTTTCATCTGACCATATGTCATTCTCCCAATCCTCTTCTGGATCATCCAAATGCACTCTAGCAAACTTCAGACGGGCCTGGACATGTACTGGCTTAAGCAGGGGCACGTCTGGCACTGCAGGTTTGAGTCCCTGGCGGCGTAGTGTGTTACTGATGGTAGGCTTTGTTACTTTGGTTACAGCTCTCTGCAGGCCATTCACTAGGTCCCCCCATGTGGTTCTGGGATTTTTGCCCACCGTTCTTGTGATCATTTTGACCCCACGGGGTGAGATCTTGCGTGGAGCCCCAGATCGAGGGAGATTATCAGTGGTCTTGTATGTCTTCCATTTCCTAATAATTGTTCCCACAGTTGATTTCTTCAAACCAAGCTGCTTACCTATTGCAGATTCAGACAGCTCTTTGATCTTGGCCATAGTGGAGTTTGGAGTGTGACTGTTTGAGGTTGTGGACAGGTGTCTTTTATACTGATAACAAGTTCAAACAGGTGCCATTAATACAGGTAACGAGTGGAGGACAGAGGAGCCTCTTAAAGAAGAAGTTACAGGTCTGTGAGAGCCAGAAATCTTGCTTGTTTGTAGGTGACCAAATACTTATTTTCCACCATAATTTGCAAATAAATTCATAAAAAATCCTACAATGTGATTTTTGGGATTTCTTTTTCTCAATTTGTCTGACATAGTTGACGTGTACCTATGATGGAAATTACAGGCCTCTCTCATCTTTTTAAGTGGGAGAACTTGCACAATTGGTGGCTGACTAAATACTTTTTTCCCCACTGTATGTGTGTGTGTGTGTGTGTGTGTGTGTGTGTGTGTGTGTGTGTGTGTGTGTGTGCGCGCATGTGTAATTGTCTGAGAGCATGTGTGTGTGTGTGTGTGTGTGTGTGTGTGTGTGTGTGTGTGTGTGTGTGTGTGTGTGTGTGTGTGTGTGTGTGTGTGTGTGTGTGTGTGTGTGTGTGTGTGTGTGTGTGTGTGTGTGTGTGTATGTATGTATGTATGTGTGTGTGTGTTTCTGATATAGAGTATACCGTTCATACCAAGACGTTATTCTGCCAACTATACCATGCCGGCAAATTTTTTATTATCTGAAAGGTATTGCCGGCAACAAAGCCTGTACTTTTATTTCCGCCAACTGACCTTGTCATGATTGCTGTAATGTGATAAAAAGTCCCACCAATCCCTCAGTATAAATGTCGCCTTTCATTTTACCGTCTTTGGCACACTTTAAATCGTGAACATTCTATTGCTGTACAACAGGGTTCTTCAATTCCGGTCCTGGAGGGCCGAAACACTTCTGTTTTTTATTTCTACCTGGTAGTTAATTGCACTCACCTGGTGTCCCAGGTCTGAATTAGCCCCTGATTAGAAGGAGAGGATGAAAAACAGAGGTGTTTCGGCCCTCCAGGACCGGAATTGAAGAACCCTGCTGTACAACATCAAACTTGTCTTTGCCAATCACAAAGCGTCACAGACTTGCTTTTAATGCATTTATTCTCTCCATGAGAATGTGTGTAGTTTTGACCTTGAGCCATTCTTGTCTATTGTCACAGACATGCTTTGGCATTTAGCCTGGGGGAATGCACACTGCCATTTCATCTTTTTTTATTGACTTTGATTGGCAAATATTTAAAGGCCCTTATATTTAGCAAATAAATTATGGTTGATATGCATACTGTACGTTTCTAACTTAAACTACAAGCCTTCAGCCAAAATAACTGTTGGGGAGTTTGAAAGTGGAGAAAGCGCGTGATGGTGATCACATTCAACGTGGATCAAAAAAGCAACTCCTACAGAGGTTCAACAAGGTCAGATGGTGGAAAAGAGTGAGGACATGGGCTCTACTTAATTCTGTTATTTCCATTATATTAATTCTTACTATAAAATGTAGGCCCTATGTGTGTTGACAGGGCAGGAGAATGTAGACAAAATGTGTCTCTTGCCTGTTTAATGAACAAAATAAGAACTATTGACATAATTTGCATGGTGCTGCCATGGGCTGCACAGACCAGTAACATAATTCAACAAAGAATATGCAATTCTATTAATTTTTTTAATACATTGTATTAGTCTTAATGTTTCTTAGGACCTGCATAAAAATTATAATAATGGATTTCTTTTTCTAGCCAGTGTCATATAATTACACTAACAAAACATATCTGACAACATTTTGAGTAGCCAACTTTTTGTTGACCATAACAGGAAAACACAAGGTAATTACTTACAAATGATTTACAAGTAGGCTATGGCAATCTGCTAACTTACTGTTGTGAATGCGAAAATATGAAAGCAGTGGACGTTCTGAATTTAAACGGAGGAATTTAAACATGCAGCTGTCAGGTTACCATGACAATGGTCACAACAACAGGGTCAAAGTTGAATGTCTTGCTACTTCCTGGTAAAAGCAATTGCTATATAAAAGGGTAATGCCGACAAGACAGAGGTAATAATAGGGCTGTTTGAAAGAAACATTGGCCAATTGTTTTTACAGGCAACATACTGTGAATCCTATTTGAAAGCACTAATAGAGCGCTAATGGCAGCGGTGTTTCACAGTCCCCATCACCTTGTGTTGGCTGTGAAAGTCCACTCTCCCCCTAATCACATTATTGCTTCAGTTGAACTTCAACACACCTCCCCCCTCACACAAAAAAATAATAGATTATTGTGTTTTAATAGGAATTCATGAGGAAAAGAGAGTAATCTCCTTCTCTTTTTTTGTCTCCCCCCTCCCCTCTATCTCCCTTTCACTCACTCTCTCTTTCTCTCCCGCTCTCTCTCTCTCCAAAAAGATAGAGAGAGATATTATCAGTTTGTTCTGAGACATTTTCTTTTTAATGACTTTGTAATGCAGTTCGGCCCATTTGGAACAGGGAGAGAAAGAGAAATGTCGCAGGTTTTTTAGCTCAGCCTCCCTAACATGTTTAATCGTGTCAGGAAAGTAGAACAGCACGCCAATGTGACCTTCCATAGCCTCAAATCACTCCTGCTTCTGGAAATGAGCTCCGATCAACGACGCTAAAGTACATTGCGGTCTCATTCGGAAACTCTCCTCTCTCTCACTCTTTCTCTCTCGCTCTCTCTCTCAGTGGGGTGGTGCTGGTCTGATGGCCTCTCGTTTGACGGACATGAAGAGTCATGATTACCCGTGTCCTGGAGTGTCCTGGTGCATGTGACACACGTGACCCCGGAGACGTGTCCACAGGACGGCCATGTGGCAGATGTGACGGCAGCCGTGTGGCACGGGGCATACGCTTCACGCCACAACCGCCATCTGGTCTGGACATCAACTTAGCATGGACTCAACCCCAGCCCTCCACCCCTCTACCACCTTCAACCCCCTAACCCTCCTTCACTTCACCCTTCACCATGTCCGCACTTCACATTCAACCTTCTGTACATACTGTCCAGTGATGACAAATAAAGTGAAAGAACAGTTATTGTGACAGACAGTAGGAGAAGTGGAGCTTTCGGCATTCTGTTGTCTGTAATATATGGAGTGTAATTTGCTGGAATGCAGGGCATGTTATCAAGCTGCTTTATTGGAACTGACAAATGACAGGCAAAAAGCAGCAACACAAAGCCGTGAAGTAGAATTCAGAACAGAAACTCAGGATGCTAAAAGAATGGCTCACAATGGAACGGAACAAGAACAGGAAAATAGAGGAATGGAACATGGTATGACATGTAACAGCACAGCACATTACCACCATGAAGCAGGATTTAGCCACCTACTTTCTAGTAACCCTCGTCTCTGAACACCGACTAGCAGCTTTAATAGATTATTTCTCTATTTCTGGAGGGCGTTCAGTATGAGGGGTTAAAAGTTAGGCATTGAAACACTTTTAGGTGCAGGCCAGTAAATTACATTGAGGGGGGAAACCGCTATTGGGTCATTATGATTTATGAGCTTGGGTGGGATCTCACGGTTACCTGCTCCTCTCCTCACCTCTCCTCTTCTCTTACCATTAAATTGATGCTTCCACGGACACACTACTCATTTGAAAATTATCCTAGTGTCCTTCCTTATGCCTAATCTGACTCGCTCAAATGGAATTTTCTTCTATTTGAATGGTCTCTCCTTTTATGAATTAATAAAATAGATTGCCTAGAGGGATATATTTTCTTGAACATATGGAATTTCCTAGTCAGTTCTTATATAATTGGGTTTCCTTCAGGATCATAATTTATCTGCACCATCTCTGGGTTTGACACCTTTAAATAAATGATTTTTCCAAATTATTTGCACTATTTTAATTACTTCATTACTCCCTCTCTCTCTCTCCCTCTCTCTCTCTCTCCCTCAGATGTCCGGTGGTGTCCAGTCCTGTTCAGTAGCGTATATTAAAACACTCTTATCTGCATTCTCTTGGTGGAGGCCAGTAAACAAGATAAGGTTGGTAAAACAAACGGCCGTTGTCAGCGCTATCGAGCATCATGACTATTTACCACCTGAACAGCTGCTCAAACACTGTCCAAACGATAGGCTCACACCAGCCCCAACAAACAGGGACAGGGGAATACTGTTCATTTTACCTAATCTTTTCCCAAACATATCACAGAACACTCCCAAGGACACTGTTGACGTGACTAGACATCAAAGTCCGATAAATGTTTGAGTAGACCATGACTAGGGTCAAGAGACAAGGCAAAGAGTGGAAAGAGCTGCTAACATCATGTCTCTCAGGGAAAGAGGGAATCATAGAGTAACAACTGTGGCTGTGTAAAGGAAGATTGGCTTCTCTTCCTCTGAGTGCCTTTCACTCTGAGTTACAGCATCAGATACACACAGTTGGGCTATGGGAATTACCTCCCTACACACTGAAGCCCTGCATCAAAGACAGTACAGTATGAAGATATGCAGAAACTGCTTCTCCAATAGCAATCCCAGATCACACTTGTTCGCGATGTCATGGCACAGCTCATGTGCAAAAACAGGTCACTGGGTCTAACAGTCATGTCACCAGTAGCGAGAACAGCGAGGTAAACTAAGCTAGCTTTGCTATGGAGGGAACTACGTTTTGAAGTTGAGGACTCCTCCCCTCCTGACTGAGTGACTCGCCATCTCAAGATGGTCAGCTAATTCAGTTCTATGTGCAGGCCACTGGTCACCAACCAGTCGATCGCGACTATTTCATTTGTCTGAAAAGACATACTCCGCCTACTCGGCGGACTAGCAGATCTGTGGCTAAATCAAGTGCGCCTACTGCGCTGGCCAATCGGATAGATCAAATCACTGTGCCTACCTACAGCTTCCACGACCCTGGCTACAGCAAAGTTTGATACTAGCCTACGTGAGATTTCATAACTTTTAAAACCATGACCAGAGAGAGACTGTCAAAGAATACAGCAAAAAAAGCTACTGTTTTTATGAGTGAGTTCATGTCTAAGTTTTATTTAGCACTGTCAACACTGTTTTTATTCAACACCATTACAAAAAATAAAACGCGCTTCTCTCTACCTCCACTCGCGCTGCATCTGCAATGAATGAGTAGCAAAGTTTATCGATAGCCCTGCGTTTTTATTATTATTAGCAGCTCGTCGTGTCTATTTTAATATCGAGGAGTATTACACTTTCTCTGATCATAGGAACAACATGAATTTGTGCCTGAGGCAAATGCGGTGAGAGTCATGTTTTGCCATCAGGTGGAAGACTGTGTCCCCTCTCTCTGGTCAGTCTCACCTGAGGAGAGGGAGGAGAGAAAAATGAAAAATGTATGCACTCACTAACTGTAAGTCGCTCTGGATAAGAGCGTCTGCTAAATGACTAAAATGTAAATGTTAATGTAGAGAGCAGGGACCGTGAGAGGCAGACCCTCTGCTGCTCCCTCCCTCCCTCCGCTGAGACTAATGCCGTGTTCAAAACTACTGGGAACTTGTAACGCCAGGGTAGTGGGTTCGATCCCCGGGACCACCCATACCCTAAAATGTATGCACGCATGACTGTAAGTCGCTTTGGATAAAAGTGTCTGCTAAATGGCATATTATATTATTATTATTCCTACAGAACTGTTTTTATTAGGTTCATGTAAAAAAAAAAAAATCTGAGCGGTAGATCATGGCTTTCTTTTTGACTGCGAAAATGATCTTGACTCAGAAAGGTTGGTGACCACATGTGTAGGCTAAAGCCTGTGCTGACCTTGTGTTTAGCCAAGCTGGCTATCCTAGATAGGATAGCTGGCTATCCTATCTAGCTGATATTTCTCTGTCAAATCAGTTATGGCAAGATAGCAAGAGCCAGCATCTGGAATGTGTTTCATAAGACACTCGTTCTACAACAACTTGCTACGAAAGTAGCTTGCAACTTAGTTTTAACGTTTCATCACATCATGAAAGGTCGCCGGTTCGTATAGAGCCGACAAAGTGAAAATCTGTCTCTGTGCCCTTGGACAAGGCACTTAACCCTAATTGCGCTAGGTGTGCTGTAAAATGGTGACCCTGGCCATGACCTCAAGGGGAGTTGGGATATGTAAAAAATACATTTCCATTACACAAATATATGCACCCCCCCCCCCCAATTTTTTAAAAAGTATTATTATTATGTAACCAGATGTTTTTACTTATTTTTTTATTATATTTTTTGTTTGTTTGTTTTTCTTTTTTCTTTTTTTCTTTTTGTAGGGGGTAGATCAGCTTCACTATTGCAGATAGATTGTAACTTCCATCAATGTAATTGTTTGCATCACTTCCAATCCTCCATATTTTTGTTTTTTCTCGCAAATATATATATATATATATATATATATATATATATATATATATATATATATATATATGTATATATATTTATATATATATATCACATATACATACACATACATATACACATACATACATATAAATACATATACATACATATATATACATATCCTTTTAAAAAATATATTTCCCTCTATTACTTTCCAACCCCATCACCCCTTCCCTAATTGTAAGTCTTCAGTCAGCTCAGCTGTCCTACAAAACAATAATCTATAGCTGGCTAGTTTTGTCTCGTCTCGTCGCTCCTAATGTCCGCTATTAGGATTAGGAAGGAGCTGCAGAGATGGATAGCAGTCGTCTTACGGGCTCCTGACCAATTCTGCTTTTTACACTGATCTCAACTTTTTTTTGTACATAATATTTATGCTATCATTTCCTATGACCGAAAACAGCTTCTAGGCATCAGAACAGCGATCACTAATTGTATTAAGATTTCTACTTCAATGAGTCGGCAGCTTTGGATGTTCTGCTCATTCCTGACCAAGCCGTAATCCCCGGGACTCAAAAGAGGACGAGAGGGCACGAGAGGCAAACGAGTGGGCTCCTTGACGAGACGTTGGCGAGTATGTTTCTCGGAGTCGTGGCTGAACAAGGACATGGATAATATACTGTACATCTAGCTGGTTTTTCTATAGGAGTGTGTCTCTTTGTTAACAACAGCTGGGGCATGATCTCTAATGTTAAGGAAGTCTCAAGTTGTTGCTAGTCTGACTTAGAATACCTCATGATAAGCTGCAGACCAAACTATTTACCAATTAACGTTTTCATCTATATTTTTGTAGCTGTCTACTTACCAACACAAACCGATGCTGGCACTAAGACAACACTCAACAAGCTGTATAGGGCCATAAGCAAACAAGAACATGCATATCCAGAGGCGGCACTTCTAGCGGCCGGTGATTTTAATACAGGGAAACTGAAATCTATCATGCCTCAGTTTTACCAGCATGTCACCTGTACAATTAGAGGTGAAAAAACTCTAGATCACCTTTACATTTTAGCAGACGCTCTTATCCAGAGCGACTTACAGTTAGTGAATACATATATTTATTTTTTCATACTGGTCCCCCGTGGGAATCGAACCCACAACCCTGGCGTTGCAAACACCATGCTCTATCAACTGAGCTACATCCCTGCCGGCCATTCCCTCCCCTACCCTGCACAACGCTAGGCCAATTGTGCGCTGCCCATGAGTCTCCCGGTCGCAGCCGGCTGCGACAGAGCCTGGATTCGAACCAGGATCTCTAGTGGCACAGCTAGCACTGCGATGCAGTGCCTTAGACCACTGCGCCACTCAGGAGACACTCCACACACAGAAACACATACAAAACTCTCCCTCCATTTGGCAAATCTGACCATAACTCTATCCTCCTGATTTTTGCTTACACTCAAAAACTCAAACAGGAAGTACCAGTGACACGCTCAATACGAAAGTGGTCTGATGAAGTGGATGCTAAGCTACAGGACTGTTTCACTAGCACAGACTGGAATATGTTCCATGACTAATCCGATAACATTAGGGAGTTTA